TGGACTTGATTAGGCGTGTTATTCTGCCTGCGTCTGTTGTCTCTGCCCCTCCTGCGATAAGGCTCCTGCCTAGGGCAAGGCTGGTACTGCCGCTGCTGCGAGGGTTTGGGCTTAAATGGCTTCCTCTGAGTCGCCGGGGTGTGCATTCCTAACGACTTGAGGATTGCCTGGGAGTCTAAGGCTACGCAGCCTGGCATCCATCTGGTCGGAAAAGAGGCCAGACCCTTCGAAGGGGAGGTCCTGGATGGTGTTCTGGACCTCTGGCGGAAGGCCTGAAGCCTGAAGCCACGCCGAGCACCTCATCGCCACACCTGAGGCGATTGTTCTGGCTGCTGCGTCTGCCAAGTCCAGAGAGGCCTGTAAAGAGGTCTTGGCAACTGCCTTTCCCTCTTCCACGAGGCCGTGAACTCAGGCTGAGAGCCCTGGGGCAAGGAGTCTTTAAATTTGGAAACTGCTGCCCAGGAATTAAAATTGTGCCTGTTTAGGATCGCCTGCTGGTTCGCAATCCTTAATTGGAGGCCCCCAGAGGAGTAGACCTTCCTTCCGAAGAGGTCCAAACGTTTAGCCTCCTTGGCCTTGGGGGCCAGGGCTTGCTGGCCATGACGCTCCCGTTCATTCACGGCTGAGACGACCAGTGAACAGGGGGCCGGATGACAAAATAGGAAGTCGTATCCCTTGGAAGGGGCGATGTACTTCCTCTTCACCCCCCTTACTGTCGGTGCGCTGGAGGCTGGGGTTTGCCAGACCGTTTTGTAGTTAGACTGAATTATCTTTATGAGAGGGAGCACAATACTGGAGGGGCCTTCAGGGCTTAGGATATCCACCATAGTATCCTCCTGCTCCACCACTTCCTCCGCCTGTAGGCCCAAGTTCTGGGCGACCCTGCGGAGCAGCTCCTGATGTGCCCTGTGGTTAATTGGGGGAGGCCCTGACACCGCCGTGCCCACCACAGCTTCATCTGGGGACGATGAGGAGGTGAGGGCATGCTGTGTCTCCTCCACCTGCCCTTCTTGCCCCTCCTCATAGGCAGGGGCACATCCGGGTCCTGTCAGGTTGAGTGTCCCCGGGACGGCCCCGAGCTCGGTGCCGCTTTCGCTCTCCGGTGCTCTGGAGAAGCATCTGGTGGTCTGGACACCGTGGCCTCCTTGGGCATGGATAGGTGCCTGCGTGGGGACCAGGACCAATGCACCGAATAGCCAGACCTCGAAGCTCTGGAGGAGGTCCCTTGCTGCTGATGATATGCCCACGGTGTCCAAAAGGGCCATTGTCCTGGCGGGCCCCATTGGGGATGCCACGCGGTCTGGGGCTCCCTGCTAGCCGGCACCCTGCGGGCGTAACTGGAGCGGCCTGAGTCGACCTCGGATTCTGAGGACGCCGACCTCGGAAGCCAAGGTGGTGCCAGGGCATGGTGCCGTCGGGAGGCTGGAGAGCAGCTCCTCACTGACCGGGATCGGTACTGATGCTCTCGGGACCGGGATCACTGCCTTCTGCCCGGGACCAGGGATTGCGGCCTTATGTTCCCTTGGTGCTGGCTTAGTGACGGTGCCGGGGAGCAGTGCGCCGGTGCCGTATGCTGGCTCGGTTCCGGTGCCATCGAGTCCTGCTGAGTCAAAGGTAACTGGGAGTCCACGGAGGCTGAGCTCGACTGGGACCAGTGCCAGGGTGGTGACCTCGAGCTGTGCACCATTGTCGGCTTGCCTCTGGACGGCACCCTTGGTGATGTTGCTGGAGGCTTCTCCTTGCTAGGGCGGGGGCTTGCCGCCGACAGCTCTATGAGGTCTTTCGCCGCCTCAAAGGTGTCTGGTATGGAGGGCTGTTCTGGGATGTCCTCCAGCCCTTCTTCTGCACTCAACCCACTTAGCCCGGGGCTTGACGGACCCTGCGGTGCCGGTGCATGTCCTGGGGCCACACTGTCCCTGAGTGCTCGGTCCCTTGGAAGGCACCACCTTCTTATGCGGGGAGCGCCCTCTATCGCCTTTCGGCTGCCCCTTCAACCGGCGCTGGATCACGGACTGATGCCGGGGCACTCCGTACCGAGGACTCCGGCGCCGAAGCCGGATGGTCCAAGGCCGCAGGCTGCAGCAAGGTCTCCATGAGTAATTGCTTGAGGCAAAAGTCTCTTTCTTTCTTGGTTCTTGGTTTGAAAGCCTTACAGATCTTGCAGCGCTCAGTCTGGTGCGATTCCCCCAAACAGCGGAGAGAGGAGTCGTGGGGATAACTGATCAGCATAGGCCTGCGGCACGTGGCACAAGCCTTATGCCCCGCAGCCCAGGGCTGGTGCTGGAAACAACTTCCAGACACCTAAAACAAAGGAAGCTTAACTATCTACTATTAAGAAGTGCTAACTACAGATATCTGCTAACTACTGATAATTACTACAACTGTGCTAAGGGATCACTCGCAAGCGAGAGAAAGAGTTGTTCCAATGCCGCCACGGATGGTAAGAAGGAACTGAAGGGGGGTCGGGTCGGCAGGGGTATATGTGCACCAGCATAGACGCCGCTCTAGGGGGCTCCCCTGCCCACCCGACGGGAGCCACTAAGGGAAAAAGTTTCCGACGTGCACGCGGTACGCGCACACCTAATGTGGAATGGACGTGAACAAGCACTCGAAGAAGAAATACAAAGAACAACCGTAAGAGTAACATATTATGGCATCCGGCCCCAGCAGCCATTTCTCTGCTGGATTAGTCTTCGATTCCCATCTGTCAGCTCAGCAGTGACAATGGGGCAGAATGAAGCCTTTCCACCACTTTCTTGCTTGTACCAGCTTCACTAACCTTTAAACCTTTTTGTTCCATGTCATTCTTCACCATTTCTATCTAACCCACCCTCGGTCTTCCTTTATTTCTATGGCCTTGCACTTCGGTATATATCACTGTGTATGGTATCCTTTCCGGCTCCATTCTTGACATGTGTCCAAACCCTCACAGTCATCTCTCTCCAATCTTAGTTCTTGCCTTACCCATTTTATCATCACTTATTTATTTTAGATTTCATAGAAGTTTTTCGAATTCTTAGAAAAAGTAAAGCTCTCAACAGAAAGTCTGAAAAAGGCACCATGAAGTGACAACAAAGTCACAACAATGCTGCAGATTTACAAGCAAGAGCAAGTGCCTAGCGAATGGGGAAAAGCAATAACAAGTACATATCTATAAAAAGAAGGAAATAAGAGTGAGTGCAAGAACTACAGAGCTATCCGCTTATTGAGTGTGCTGGGAAACACGTTCCCCAAGATGTTGCAAAGGAGAACGAGGGGTATGAGGATGCAGCCCTGGCAGAGGAACAGGTTGCACTGAGACCGACATCAGAGAAAAACACACAACACAACTGAACCTGGTACAAGAACTGTGTAGACTTCACATGGGCTTTTTATAGCATTTGGCAGAAAGGGCTATGGCAAGTTTTGAGTATGTCTGGCATTCCCAAGAAATTGATTGAGCTGGTAGAAAGTATCTACAGAAAGTTGATGAGTGTGCAGAGAATAGACAAGAAGCTGATGGAATGGTTCAGGATGACCACAGGAGTGCAACAAAGGATGCGCGGTATCACCGGATTTGTTCCACTTGGTACTAGAAGTAGTCATGGCTGTAGCACTGAGAGATGAAATGGGAGGAGCCAAGTTAAGTGGGAAAACAGCGAATAACCTTAGATTCGCAAATGATATTGACCTCACAGCATTGTCCTGGGTGGCCGTAGAGAGTAACTGACAAGGTAGATCACCAGAGCAGAAAATTCAGACAGATAAGTACAGAGAACACAAAAATTATGGCAATTGGAAGACAGCAGGAAGAGACAAAGATTCAAGTCAGTGACAAAGAACTAGAAGAGATGGAAAAATATAACCTTGGAGGACTGGTATTGAAAATGGGAATTGGGAAGATGACATAAAAAAGAATCTCTTCTGGATTAATGATACATAGCAGCACCAGATGATATCAGAGGAACACAGAGGAAAGAGAAAGTAGATCTACACTGAAACACCAAAAAATAACGTAAAGTATAATAGGTGAGAGTTAATTTTTACTGACTCTCTTCATGTTGCATTAATGCAGCAAGTGTGGGTCGGTAAAGGGGAGAAGTGAGGAGAGCATGAGCAAGCCTGAATACAGAAACCACTGGCTGAATAACACATTTATGTCTAGAGTTGTAAAGCAATCTAATAATGAACATTTTCACAGACCATTTGCCTTTCCTGTTTAATAAAATATATGAAACAGATGTTCACATACTGAAATACATCTATCCTATAAAACAGTTTGCAGAATGCAGTATATTTTGGATAATGTCCTTTCCTTCTCCACAAGGCATGACTGTTCTTCCTAAATTAAAATTTGCTCAAAATCTCACAGCCAAGGACCAATCAGCCCTATGTGATATAATGTAACAGAATAATTAATAAGCTTCATTAGCATGGTGGGGGGGGGGAAGAGGAGGAGGGAAAAATATAAACACTGATAATCTACTTGAGGAGTAACTTCAGGAGCCCAATGCAAAATGGTTTTAAAATTATTATCTCTCACTCCATTTAGTTAAATGCCTAGCAATCTGAGGTGCCTTCACTCCCCTAGATCTACTCTAATATGGGGGACAGGAGGCCTGGTTCTATTCCCAGCTTTGGGGAAAGTCACTGGACTTCTATGCCTTGGCTCTCCCCCACCCCGAGCCACTGTCTTGTAAATATAGATTTTAAGCTCTCTCCAGGGCAGCGACTGTCTCTTACTATGTCTACGTATGAGCTCCCATACTACAAATAATAATAATCACATCCCATTCACGGATAAACAGTTGTCAGGGACTGTCAATGTACAGAGTCAGCTAACACTGTGATGTCAGTAGAATAAGACAGGCTGAGCTCAGTTTTGAATTAAATGCTCACTGTACAGTTGGGGTTCATTGTATCTCATTAGCAAGAGCTGTATGTTATACCAATTAAAATATTACTCGGCTTGCATCCTTTTCAAGTTTGCCAGGTACTTCCATGGTTTGTGGTCAACTTACCTCTTTAACGTGAGTATGAAAAGACACAGACATGTCCAGCAGGATCTTGCGTTGCTCCACACGCCTAACAAAATCCTGTATTCTGTCTTCCAACTGATGTGCAGCTTGATAAATCTCTTCTGGGTCACACTCCCCCGTCTGAGCCAGCTGCTCGGCTGCTTCTAGCAATTTATCTGCATTGGTATATGTGTTCTGCAGAAAAATAAAATGATCATTTTACAGGGATAAGTGAACAGAAGGTAATGCTGGCCTGTATCTAAAGACACAATACATTGCCCATTGCAGGAAACAAACTGGAAAAAATGAAGCAGTAAAGCATTAGGTTGCTGGAATCTCATGTCAATAACCTTCTCATACTCATTACAGTAGATAGGTAACCGTCTCATCCTCTGACATTGTCCTTTAATACACTGCAGAAAAAGGAACATCTGCAGACAAACCGTCACCTTACATACACCAGGCAATAAAATGCTTTTATGATTTTTTGCACATAGACAATTACCAGAGTAAAGGAAGGATCTATAAACATCTGCTGCATTTTGTTTCAGTTTCATAAAAAACAAAAGGACCTCTAGCTACTGTTCCTTTTGGGGGCAGTGGATGGAAATTCTTAGAATTACAGGTCTTTGAAGTCCCATTTTAACAAGCATCATCCTTTCACATCACTTCACTTCTGTAGTTGAAATGTGTGCTTTTCTCTTGTTAGGAAGAGTGGAACAATATCCAATTCATTCAAATAAAACATGGTGAATATTCACCATTTGTTGTTTATTCTCTTCACTGTTTTTTGTGGTGCTCTAACCACGCAATGAAAACACATCACGAGTGAAGCAGAATTTCTACTAGCATTGAAAATACCCTAGTCCAAGATGCAGGACTTGGTCCATTCCTTCCAGGACTAGTAACGCAAATCCACTGCCAGACTGAAGAACAGTTTTAAAGCCTGATATGTTGTAAATTAACATGGTTAAACACTATTTGACAGACCAGTAACAAATACTCTCAGGTCAGAAAGCTTTTCCCAGCACTTATCCAAGAGCAATGACCAGAAATTCATGTTTTTAAGTAGGGCATTTAGAAAAAATACCATACAACTGACAGCAATGAGGTGCGAAGAGTCAATGGATAAGAAAAAAAATCCTCAGGTTTCCTTGCAAAAGCTGATAAATTTGGCAGTTGTGAGGTGTTGAAATGGCGCATAGGGAGGCAGGTAACTGGAAGCAGGGGGGCAGGATGAAAGGGCAGTGGGAGGGTTCAGGGGGTAACTCTGGACACAAGTTGTGAAACAGTCTGGTGTTTGTGTGGCAGGGCCAAGTCAGGCAAATTTTGGAAGCAACATAAGGGATCGTTTCCCAGGATTGGAGTGCTGACTGACTGAGCTTTTGGAAAGGAAGAGTGAGAGTTCAGCAGCTGCAAAAGGGAGAGGAGTCAGTGCACAAAACTGAACAAACAACAAAAATCAAAACCCCAAGAACCAAAAGACCCAAATATCTGACATGAAAACAATCTCCCTCCAAGAGAGCCTCTGTCAATTGAAAGGAGACTTTTTAAACAAGTATGTTTCCTTACTTATTAAAACTGAAATGTAGAAATCTTGCTTACATTCACCTTTCATCCTGCGCTCTCTGTTCAGTGTGTTACACTTCCAATGAAATGCAGGTTTCACGCACCAGCACAGTTCCTCAGTGTTTACATTACAAACACTAATGGGGAACTTTTAGCCACTAAAGAGGAAGAAGATGGAGGCCTAGTCTACACAAGAAAAGGGTTGCTGGCATAGCATTACCGGCAAACCTTCCTAATAAAGATGAAGCTTATACCAGCACAAGAGTGCTTTTGCCAGTATAGCTTATATTGGGTCCCCAGATAAAAACTGTATTGGCAAAAGCCTTCTTGCTTTGCAAGTATAACTGTGGCCACACTAGGGCTTTAGCTGGTATGGAAAGGAAAAGAAAATAAATCACGCCCCTAACAGATTTAAATTTTATTAGAGAATATTTAAAAAAATAAACAATACAGAAAATTTGAGGCGTCAGTTATTGGTCATTGGGGGTAACATACAGAGTATGGGGGGGATGTTAGTGTTTTGGGGTTGGGCAGCACACAATATATGCAGACTGCAATGTCCCCAATGGGGGAGGGGTAACCGGTGGGCGGGATCAGGATACAGCTGACAAGCGGTGAGGGTCTATCACCCATACAGAAAGTAGAGACAGTCATGGGTATAAGTAAGTGGGCTGGGTTACCATACCAGTCAAAGTTTCTATTGTAGACCTGACCTAAAACATGACAAGGAGCCAGGCAATCAGAGTTCTCCTTGTTTGCTTTGCCACTGAGTTACCGGGCAACTCCTACACAAATCATGTGTTCATCTTTGTGGCTCTGTATGTAGAACAGAGAGAGTCATACATGCCTCGGCTAGGGCGGTAGAAATAGTAAAAGGTTTTATTTATTAGTGTGTCAAAATTGCTTTGAGTGGCTCAGTTGGAAAGTGCTTGTGATCTAAAAAGTTTTTGTTGTTGTTTTTTTTAAAATAACTTCACACAAACTAGAATAAAAAAAACTCGGGTAATGTTTGCATGTTTCTGTAAAAACTCATTCCTATAGCCTCCCTCTCACTTCCCCTAACAAACCTAATGTTTCATCTGATCTTGTTCCTTTAAGCTCAGGTTTTAACTCAATTTTTAAAATCAACATCAACATTTTGAAATTAACATGGTTCAAAGCCATTCCAAAATATTCCGATGCATTATCTGCCAGCAGCACAAACTTTTGTACACCTTGGGATCGACAACCTTGTCGGTCTCAATACTGCGTTCAACTATTCAATTTTTTGACTTGTTCAGTATAATAAATTCATTAATTATTTATGCAACAACATTAGTCCCTAGTGCTTTTTGAATTAAACGGTGCACACACCAGACAATGGGTGTCATCTCCCACTCTCCAACCCTAAAGGGAGGTTCGGAGTCTCTAAGACGTTGTACCTGAGGAAGCCTGCACCCCCTACTCAAATGCTGTTAGAACAGAACACTTCCTGGTCAGTACTTACATGTGCCCAGTGCTACAGTCGAAGCTCTCACAGATGAACAAGAAAAGAAGTTCAATGCTCACAATTGTAACCTGAAAGGCTACACTGGCAACTACCTAGGGAACCAAGGGCCCCACCCACAGCCATCTGTGTGACTGAAGAGATCGTTTCCCATTTTATAAATAATCTGACATTTTATTCTTGTGAAATACTATTTAAGAATTCTGAGAGCATCCTCGTGATAATGTAGCCTGAGCATTTCAGATTTATCTTTCTGCAAACTGGAAGATGGTCTAGATGAATTAAGAATTTAATGTAATTAAGAAGTTAATGTAATTTGGATGCCATTTTCAAAAATAGCTCAAATGCTGTATCCTTAGACAGCATGCAGAAAAGAGGGTCAATCCTCAACTCACTTTTGTAAACCTTCCTTCAACTAGTAATGACATCCCGTGGAAATGCTTCTTCTTATATAGTTATGCCAGTGTGCAGGAGCTAAGATCCTAAACATGGTGGGTTGTGCTGGAGAACTCCCCAAGACAGGCAGATGAATGAAAAGGGTGCAAAGAGGAGGCGTCTCTTTACGGATTTAATAAAACTGATCTAAAGTATGCAAGGTGATTTTATATCTAGCAGTCAGTTAAGGCTATTCGAGCAGGCTGGGAGGACAAAAGTCACAGCATGGCACTAGAAGCAGTTTATGCCCATTTCCTAACTAGACAGGGAGGCATTCATGGTGTAGATCAGCTTTAACTATCTGTATTTAATTAACATGTCTTTTCAGTAGGGCTGTCGCTTAATCGCAGTTAACTCACGTGATTAACTCAAAAAAATTCATTGCAATTAAAAAAATTCATTGCAGTTTTAATCGCACTGTTAAACTATAGAATACCAATTGAAATTTATTAAATATTTTGGATGTTTTTCTACATTTTCATATATATTGTATTCTGTGTTGTAACTGAAATCAACGTGATTTCATGCATTATTTTTGATTACAAATATTTGCAGTGTAAAAATGATAAACAGAAGAAATAGTATTTTTCAGTTCACCTCATACAAGTAGTGTAGTACAATCCCTTTGTCGTAAAAGTGAAACTTACAAATGTAGGGTTTTTTTGTTACATAACTGCACTCAAAAACAAAACAATGTAAAACTTCAAAGCCTACAACTCCACTCAGTCCTACCTCTTGCTCAGCCGATCGCTAAGACAAACAAGTTTGTTTATATTTACAGGAAATAATGCTGCCCTCTTCTTATTTACAGGGCTGTCTCCAGGCACCAGCTTGCCAAGCAGGTGCTTGGGGTGGCCACTCTGGAGAAGGGCGGCACGTCCAGCTATTCAGGGGCAATTCGGCGGACGGTCCCTCACTCCCACTTGGAGCGAAGGACCTTCCGCCGAATTGCCGCCGCAGATCGCAGCTTTTTTTTATTTTATTTTTTTTTGCCACTTGGGGCGGCAAAAACCCTGGAGCCGGCACTGCTTATTTACAATGTCACCAGAAAGTGAGAACAGGCATTTACATGGCACTTTTGTAGCTGGCATTGGAAGGTATTTACATGCCATATATATATTAAACATTTGTATGCACCTTCATGCTTCAGCCACCATTCCTGAGGACATGCTTCCATGCTGATGACTAAGGCTACGTTTTAGTCATGGGTATTTTTAGTAAAAGTCTTGGAGAGGTCATGAGCAGTAAACAAAAATTCACAGCCCGTGACCTGTCCATGACTTATACTGTACACCCCTAACTAAAACTTGGGCAGGGGGCCGCGGGTACTTGGGGGGAGGGAAGGGATCGTGGTACAGGGGTGTCGCGGGTGCCAGGGAGGTGGCCCAGGACACCTGCTGGTACTGGCAGGGGCTCCCTACCTGGCTCCGTTTGTCCGTGCAGCTCCTAGGTGGCGGAGGGGCTGGGGGCTCCACCCACTGCTCCCGCCATAAGCCCCTGCTGTGCAGCTCTCCCCCCCCCCCCCCACACACACATTCCCCAACCTCCTGCCCCTAGTCCTGAGCACTTCCCACACACCAAACTGCTGCTGCTGGCCCAGGGGCTTCCCGGCTCGGGCAGCCCCTGAGTCAGCACCAGTTGCTGCAGAAGTCACGGAAAGTCACGGAATCCATGACCTCTATGATAGACTCGCAGCCTTATTGAG